AATTCATATTAATATGCAGTCTAAAAATTATTTAAAGGTAATTCTGATGGATTTGAGAGAAAGATCATAAAAAGAAATTGGAATATTTAAGTGAACAACAAGCTAACATGAACTAACATGTTTTGCTTCTTATATTAGTAGTATTGATCACATATTTGCATAAAAATTGATTTCAGTTGTGGGTACAACCCCCCTCCCCCCCAAAAAATTTTTTTTGTTAGTTTTGGTCACATTTTCAAAGAGCCACTGTAGAGGGATCAAAGAGCCACATGTGGCCCCAGAGCCGCAGGTTGCAGACCCCTGATCCAAGGGCTCCATGTATCTGGATAGATTTTTATGTATTTTTTCTGAACAATGACAAGCTGAAATACAAAAAAACTGAATACAAAATGAAATACTGAAAGCATTTTTAAAATGTAAGTAGAAAGTACAGCTAATTGCATGAAAATTAAAAAGTAGAAGTAAAAAGTGGTCTGAAAAATAATTCACTTCACTAAAGTATAAACAACTAAAATTTCTACTTGTAACTAAGTATTTCTACTTAGTTACTTGACACCTCTGATCACCCTCCACATGTACTTTAAGCAGTTAGTTGTGGCTATCTTGGAATTGATGCCAAAAGTTGATCAGTTGTAGATGAGCTTCYTCTGATCACATTGTGTGAGAGTTTTATAAAAATCTGTTCAGTGGTTCGCAACATGTTTTATTAATAGACGGGTCAGTAAAGGTGAAGATCTTAACAATCCCTTTAATGTCATCTTTAAGTGTTAAACGCAGAGTTATTTATGCTGCAGTTCTGTTACACAGCCTGGTCAAAGAGGAAGTCATTTTTTCTGGTGATATTTGCTTTTGAACAGATGCCGGCTGCATTCAAACAAGTGAGCCCATCTGCACACGCTCTTGCCCAGTGATAAGCCCCCGACACACAGGTAAACATTTGCCGTGTTATTGATGGGCCATATTGACATGTTTTTATGGGGGCATTTCTCCTGATGGCACACAATGCGGTCCAGTTTTTCAGGTCAATCGCTGAAAGCATTTCAACATCATCCATCCCCGTCTCGTTCTCCCTTGCCTCSACATTCTCCGAGAAGCTTCTGAGTTGATGATTGACTGTCAGCTGCCCTTCATGAGACGCCTGCACAACACTGTGGAGAAGGAATAAAAACTAACAAAAAAAAATCCCCCAAAAAACTGAAAAGCCAAGGGGGTTGGTGTTGGCACTGTCTCTTCAGCTACACATAACAACCTTTTCTGGAAAAAGTTTCCTCTCCGACATAGCACCGGTCCATTAAAACAGGGCACAACTGCTGCCACAGTGGGACTTCCACTAAAGTTGTCATCAACCTGTAAAAACTTGCTCTGCCTGTACACACACAGTGTGATCTCTGCAGGCTTAGGCTCCTTTAATCACTGCAGTTTCTCTTCCCCGCATCCTCAGTTCAAAAAACACAAAACAAAACCTGCCAATAATGAGGGCTAACACAAACGTGTAAAGAAAGCGAAACCTGACCTTTATTCTGCGCGATTAGACGTCACAGCGACAGCTCTGTTATCTGGAGTTTCTGTCAATCCTCCACAACTCCGATACGATCACCTACAAGCAGACATTTTCCAGTTTCGAAACGTTTCCACTGATTTCTCTAATCCCGTTTTGCGGATTCCAAAGGAAGGTAAATTAATTGTGAGAGTTTCTGATGCAGCTCGTCTAAATGTTATCAACCGTCAAGCGTGCCTGAGCCCGTATCATCAAAGCAAAACAATTTTTTTTCCTGCAAACATCCCAGACGGGGCTGCTGTAAACCCACATCCCTGTGCTCCCCTGAGGRTTTAAAAAAGGCACCACTGCTGCGATCACATAGCACAGCCGCCTCTGACATCCTGCGAGGCAGAAAAAAAAAAGCTCATTTGGTTGAACTCTGCGTCAGCAGAAGGATAAACCTTCTCTCGTGTATTTCTTCCTGGCAGATGCCTCTGTGCACCAACTTCAATATCTTCCCATAACCAATGACCTAACGTTCCTCGAAGGAGTGAAAATCACACGCTGTGGTGGCCATCTTGAATGGGGTCCGCCCAAAAAAGTCCATTCACTGGTGCATGAGATAGAGTTCTACAAACAAACACACACACGTGCACACACACACTTTTATTCCCACGTTTAGTTGTGTGTTTTTAAAGACCCTTTAAAAAAAAAGAAATCTCGTGTGAGTATTTTAACGGACTAATATTTATTCAGTCAAACTAGCAGAACCATAAAAGCTTCATTACTGTGACTGGTTTGAGAAACAGATTAAAACATTTGCTCTCATTTATAACCCTCATAAATCCTTCTGAGATATTTCTTCTTTAATAAATGATCTGTTTATTATTTGGAGGTCCATTTATTAKATCATATAGCGCTCTGATTAAAATTCTCAGTTGGCTGCCTGTTCTATCTCGATGTGGACAGAGGAAGATATGAAGCCGGGATGGCAATAAGAGTATGTCATATTTTCACCTGAAGCATTTCCCTTTAGACAGCGCTTTGCTGAGAGCAGGCGGGGCCACTGTGGATGAGCCCGGTGTCACGCTGCTGCTCTTAAAGAATGATCCGTGGGAACTGCAACCCTGCAGAAAGGAAAAAAAAAGTAGAATGTACAGAATATACAGTAAGGGACACGATTGAGTCATTTTAAGGAGTGCAATGATACTGTTGTCTCATGAGAGATGACATGATTTTAAGAATACTTTTATGAAAAATGTCAAAAAGAAAAACTAAGTAGGTCCTCTGGATGGGTTCTTCTTTAGTGAAACGTTTCGTCTCTCCTCCAAGAGACTTCTTCAGTCTGATGAGTTTCAGGTGAACTCAGCCTTATAAGCACTGCCTCCACATGGACAAACAGGTTAGTCACATGCAAAAGAGGGCCATCGCCTAACAATAGGCTTGAGTAGCTCAATTGTTCATAGAGGGTCATGTGTTCCATCACCTGACTTATTGGTTTGGATGCTGTGGTTCTYAGGTGTCATGTTATGTGTATGTAGTGAATGCATGCGGGGCTCAACGTCCCCTTGTTTTTGTCTTTTCTTCCTCTTTGTGTTGGGTATCGTTGGGGCCCTGATTCACACCTTTTGCTCACAGGAGGCCGAGTCATACTTGCAATAACAGTGTTGTAGGAGGAAAAAAGACAACAAAAGAGACAAAAACAAGGGGACGTTGAGCCCCGCCTGCATTCACTACATACACATAACACGACACGGGTCAGGTCACATGACCCTCTATGAACAATAGAGCTAAGCAAGCCTATTGTTAGGCGATGGCCCTCTTTTGCGTGTGACTAACCAGTTTGTCCATGTGGAGGCAGTGCTTATAAGGCTGAGTTCACCTGAAACTCATCAGATTGAAGA